GCTGCCATATTGAGGATCCTGCAATTTGCGGCTTCCAAGTGGCACCATATCGTCAAAATGCAGTGCAAAGGGAAGCCTTCCATTGGTGCAGAATGAGCTCTTAAAAAATCTGTGGCGATTCGCGAAGGGCCGTTGTCCGCCATGCTATTTTTTCGGAAATTTTCACCACCGGGATATTGCTGGACAACACCCTCATGCGGTTGACCACTCGATTCCATGAATGGCGTCGCATATCTTTTCGCTTGCTCATTTGGCAGACTCGAAAATGCCCCTCGGCCAATTGATTCTTGGCTGAACCCTGCCCCAGGACGTCGCCATGTTTTCGCAGTTGTGGAGCAACTTTCTGTAACAACATTAAGATACCATTCCAGGAAGAAGCCAATGAGATACAGCTTTCTACGCTGATGCTTCTTACCTCAGCACAAACTTCCACTACTACACGCTGTGAACATCTCTATCGGCTGAGGTAACGCAAGGTGATGCGTTTCTTCGAGCTGAATATGCCGAGCAGCCTTGGTAAACAACCGTAAGACTTGCCCTTTGTGGTTATACTCAAAAAAGAGCTTGGTGTTGCTCTCTGGCATGCAATGCTTTCATTACAAGCTTATATTCTAAAGAAGACTTGAAGGCATTCAAGAAAGGCGTCTGAATGGTAAATGCGTATTGTTTTTCGCCAGGGGCTCCCTTGAACAAGGCATTCACGACATCTGTATTTCCTTTCGGAATCATATCAGCCTTCGGATGCAGTGATTTCTGATTGCAGGAACATAAATGCAATCGGCAGGAACTCCAAGATGAACGGGATTGGGGAAAGCTACTGTATGTACACTATGAAAGTATGTAGGGCGTGATCTTCTACAGAAAATGGTCGAGTCCGTTTCAGATTCCAAGCTCCAAACGGATAAGGAAATGAGTTGTTGGAATGGTCCTCATTTCATCACGCCTTTACTGCCATTGTCGCCAAATTCAATAAATTCATCCAAGGCTGATTTGCTTCAACTTGGGCGTTTGTGGCTTGCATGAAACACAAAACAATTCCCTATTTTGAAGCAGCTTATACCTATAATACGTGTACAAGTGTTGCATCTGTCGCCACCAATGCACGGTTGTAGTGGTTGTGTTCCAGTCCTGATTGGTTGATTGCGTGTCTATCATCGCTGGAAACCGCTCTAGAAAAATACTGTGCAATCAGCTTGGCAGAAACCTCAACATCCGATACAGTATCACGATGGGCGCCCATCAACAGACAAAAGGGTGACATGATGCCCCCTGAACGGGAAGGGGCGTAATCAATACTTCTTTGCTTCAGTTTGACCCAGATGCAAAAATATCGAAAGGCCACAGCCATACACCACATTTTCACCTTCCGCACCAGTAGGCCCTGCTACCAAAGTCTTGTCCTATCATGCCTATGTATTCTCACGGAGAGGGAAGAAAACCAGACATTCTCTTGATGCTTTTATAGGGACTTCTCTTCCGTTTAATGCATACAGCGTCAAACATTCGTACTATGATTTTTAGGATGTCAGTTTCGAAGCACTTGCTTCTACCGATTTTTGTGGCAGTGTTCTTTTCTGGTTTCTTTACCAGCTTTATTACGCTCCATAACAGCCAACCAAAGCTATCAGTTCAAATCCTAGAGAAGATTTCACGGCTTTTGCAGATCCCGTGCCAAAAATTTGGGTTCTCGCATTGCTCCTTAAGAGGAGCTGGAATAAAATATGCAAACAGAAAAGGCAGCCCCACGTTCTCGCCAAGGACAAATGGAAGAAATCAACACTACTATGACTTATACTCCCCAAGTACCTATGGTTTGTCGAATCAGGTACACGGACCAAAGACATTTGCTCCGTCATTCGGTGGAATAAGGAAAACCGCCGGTGTTGTTCGAACCAAGGAGGGCATCTTCACCCGCTTTTTTAACATGCTGTCGCATTCAAAAACAGATGAAATGAACGATAGGGAAGAAATTGAGATGTGGGAAATGTTTGAAGATGAACCTATTGATGCGATAACTCAGGACCCGTTCTGGAAAGATTTCGCTTATTCCGAATCTCTCGCGAGGAATAGGCTCTTCAATGCATTTTCTCAGGCTTCCACACTTTTAAAAAAAATAGTGGAGAAGACCTGGAGAACTGTACTTGGATCTAGGGTGGGGCCTCGTAACACCCTTGAACGATCCTCTACGACGCTGAATCGCAGGCCAACCTTGAACGAGAAAGAGGTGAGAGGTTTTGTTGAGTTGCTGTGGAACGACGTAAAACGGCGCGGGCATTTAAGCCTTGGCTTGAATCCTACTTTGGAGAAAACACCTACTGAAAGGTTTTACAACGCCTTGAATGAAGCCGGAGAGCAAGTCCGACGAAGAATTGAGACTTTGAAGGGTCTAAAGAGGGAACCTGCTTGGAATTCTTGGGGCAAAGAGACTCGCGAAGTTGTAAACAGGGGAATGAATGCAATGAGGAAGGTGCAAGCAGACCTCATGAGACAACGAGACGTCTTAGTCAAGGATAGGATTTCTGCTTTGGGACTGCACACACAAGAGTCTGATCTGAAACCAAAACCTCTTGCAGAAGTAACGAGGCGCAGCAGTGACCCGCTTTTCAAAGTCTGGATCACGGAAGTCTTTAAGGCTTCGGGAAACTCGTTTTCTCGAAAACACCAGGTCTTCATCCCACAGCATTGCGAAGGAATCCGTTCTATACTTTGCCAACTCTTCCCGTTCTTGTCGGAATTCGTCGGTGTTCTGTTTAGCAGCAAGTTGTTTATCGTCTTTGCTATCGCTTTTGTACTCTGTTGGCTGGACATGAAATTCGACCTTGTTGATCAACTCTGTGTGATTTCACAGAGCAAATTCTGCGACTACCGACGAAAGAGAGCATCTGGCACGATAAGGAGTGTACAGTTCGAGGAAAACATGCTCGTACAACATATACCCGAACAAAAAGTAACCTATAGTGAAGAAACACCAAAAGACGAAAACCAGTCCGTGCAAGCAGACAGTAATTATCCCCAAGCCTCAATATATTCAAGGAGAGTGACACGGTATGGAGGAGAATCACCAAATATTCAAACCAAGGCCATGCCTGGAAGTGATTCTCGAAGCAGTGAACAAACACTTACTCTATCTAGAAGGAGAAGGCCGCAACTAGCCTTTTCAGATTCAGCTGGGGCTGCTCCCAAATCGGTGACCCTTCGATTTCAAGCAAACACGTCCACGAATGGGCGAAGGGATAAAGATGTTGAAACAAACCTCAAACCCCAAACCTCACAAAGGGTCAGAAAGCACGCTTCATCTACAGTACCGAGAAGGCAAACTCCTCGGAAGGCTTCAGTCGCAAGAAGGACCGTCACGGACTCGTGTTTTACCGACGCAGAAATAGAAGACAGTCCCATTGCAACAAGGCGTGCAATGAGAGCTAGTATGGAAACGCTGCAAAGAGCGCAGGCTCTACGCCGAAAGCCTCGGCTAACAACACCAGTTCGGAAGTCGGAGATATCTCGTGAGGGTAGAGACTGAAGAAATTTGAACTGACCCCAATCTTTTCATTCTACCATGCGGGTTTGCTTCAATGAAAACAGGCTCATTATTCATGCAGACAACCAAACGTCGAGATTATCATTCCTTTAGTCTTTTCTCGGGTGAGGTGACAGCCTTTCATCCCGTTTTCTTTCGGGCGTCTTCCGCATTTTGTCTCCCAGCCCCTCTTCCTTCTTTGCGCTTCGTTCGTGACGCCGAACTACGTTGATGTCATTACCAACAAAGGACGGGACTAGATGAAAGAGATGGCCATGAAGGCTGGCTGGTACTTGGTGGTTCATCACTTGTCGATGGTAAAAACCTAAAGACCTGCGGATGTGCAGTTGTCACACCTCTTGTCCGTCGTACTTCGTTCGAAAGGGCGTGGTCGATGGGAGATCAGCAGATAAATTTTCGATGTAGAGAGGCAGCCACCAGAGATAGCCTCGGTCAGTCACCTAGTTAGCTTCAACCCTCGGATAAGAGTGTGAACCCGTTCACAGGTTCCAAACACGGGAACCTTGAAACAACAAATGAACGAGAATTATCACTCTAACGCGGCTGTTACTATTTACAAAATGAGGTCGTCAGACCACAACCTGTGTGTCCGTTTCATAGTCCTAGCGAAACACTACCTAACTAGCTCGATTCCCATCCCTTCACAAACGACGACAAAATCATTGTCCAATCTCGTTTCCAGCTGGATCCTGACCCCAAAGCTGTTGCAAATGGACAAAACACCCGCCAAATGCGGTGTCAACCTGTTAAGTCTCAATCTCGAAGTTCCCTTCGCCATGGCCATAAAAACGACCAGCTGGTCAGCCATATACTCATCTACAGCTGCCTCCGTACCAATCGTATCGCAAAGCCTTTTGGCGGCTTCAGTAGCCGCACTCGACACGGACTCTCTCCAAAACCTGAGCTTGTCTTTATAAGTCATTCTGCGCGATTTCTTCAGCATTGCCCAATCCTTGCGCTGAGCCGCTTGCTGTTCCGACCACAAGACGTTGGACCCCATAACGGAGCCGTTTGAAAACCGGGCAAATAACGTCAAGCACAGACATTTGCCCGACGTGCTCGTCTTGCTGACCTCTTTGATAGTAATATGCCTGCGCCTAAACGGGGCGGTAACTTTAACATATCCAAGCTGTGACGTGATTTCCTTCACGGCCGCTAAGGCCATTTCTTCGACAACGCCACTCACGACATAATCATACCCCGACACGACTAGCTCCCCCTCAATGGAAAGCAGAGTCCCCTTTTCCGTCAACTCAATCGGATTCAGCACGCACACCGCATCCTTCCCCTCGACAGCCTGGCACCCCTTCTTATCAAACGAGACATCAATCTGTCCACCTCCCCTAGGAAAAAATCCGTGCTTCACTACGTCGAATCTCAGATCAACTCCAAACAACCTCAAGTTGGGCACGAGGACTTTCTGCACGTAATCGCTAGGCGGGGCATACATGGCCGTGGTGCCGCCTGTCAATCTCATGGCGACAGTACTTCCTCCGGGCAGAAACTTTAGCGCGGGCGGGAGGGCAGCCTGCAAAACGAGGGCTGTGGCGCCCGCCGTGGACACGGCAGCGAGGAAGGGGAGGTGTGCAGGATCAGTGCGTGGGCGTGGCGTGAGGAGTTCGATTGCCTGGGAGCCTTCGCAAGCGTCAACCAGGGAGGCGTTGGAGACGTCGGCGACGAGGTTGACGGCGGCCACGTGCTGGGCCTGCAGACCGGGGACGAGGCGGTTGCCGCGAATGTCCGTGACTCGGACGTGGCGGGAGAGGATTGCTGCGAGGGAGAGAGATAGACGTAGCACCTGGCCGCCGCCTTCGCCGCTTGAACCGTCGATTACAAGGTCGGGGACGACATACGAGGGGACGGGTTCGGACGGGATGGGTTCGGAGGCGGAGGAGGACATTGTTTTGTGGCGCTTGCGAGAGGGAGAGGACATAGGTGTGGGGCAAGGAGAAGCGAAGACGAGGGAATGAGGGGGTAGAAAAGGGGTGGTTGGGTGAGATGCGGGTGGTGTCTTGCTGCGTTGGGACGGTGTCGACGGTGGCGCTTTTAAAGGTGATATGATTTATTGAATTTGTGTTTAGCTTCTCTATGTACAAGCACTGATTAACTGTACGTATGTATTCTCTACGCACGTCATAACGGCGCCAACGCAGGCTTGCTCTTTTTCTTGAATGGTAACACGAGCTCGGTGATGTCGTTGAAGTACGTAAACTGGTGCCACCCTCCAAACAGCAGCATCTTACCCTCGTCTCCCACGCGCGTCAGCCCCGCGCCGGCGCGTGGCCCAGGGGTCCTACAGGCGTTATCCCCCGCGAAGAGGCAGGCCCACTGGCACTCGGTCTCGCTCTTGATGCGGAGCTCCCACACGTCCGAGTAGAACAGGCGCTGCGCGCCCAGGTCGTCCCATCCGCCGTACACGACGACGCCCTTTCCGTCCTTGCTCGCGACGGCGCAGTGCCCGGTGCGCGCGCGCGGCGCGCGCCCGAGGATCACCGGCTCGGACCATAACAGGTCGGCCGGCTTGAGCAGGTGCACGTCGTTGAAGCTCTTAGTCTTGTTGTTGCCGCCAAACAGGACGAGAAAGCCGGCGGCCGGCGTGAGACTGGCGTACGAGCGCGCGGAGGGGCGCGCCGACTTGGCCGTCGTGCGCACTTTGGACCACATGGCCAGGTCCTGGAGGAGGTGCAGGTCGTTGAGCCACTTGTTGCCGTTGATCCCCCCGTAGATGACGATGCTGTTCGTGCCCGGGAGCAAGGCGGCGCAATGCCCGCCCCGTGCGGACGGCGTGTTGCCGGATAGCGCGGGCGGGTACCACGTGAAGTAGGTGGTGTCGTACATGAGGACGTCGTTAGTCTGCGTGCGCTCGCCCTTGATTTCCTTCTCTCCGCCGAACACGAAGAGGTTGGAGTCGACGCAGGTGGTGGAGTGCCACGCGCGGCCGCCGTGCGGCATCTCGGGGGTGTCCTTGCCCTTCTGCAACCAGCGGCTGTCGCTGACATGAAACACGGCCATTTCCTTAAAAAAGCCGTCGCGCTCCGACTCGCCGCCGAGCAAGACGATTGTGTCATCATCCAGCCGCGTGAACGAGGCGCCCCATCTTCTCGCGGGCAAGTTGCCGCTATCATCAATTTGCATGCTCTTCCACGGCGACGGTTTGGAGCGCGGGGGGGCGAGCGGGGCCGGGTCGGGCGTCGGCTCCGAGGCCGGGAGGTTGTCCTTTTCCTTGTCCTTGGCCGGCTCCGGCGACAGTGGGAGCGGCGGCGGGCTGAAGACCTGCGGGTCTGCCTGAAAGCGGACCCTCTTTCCCGTCTTGACGGCGTGCTCGGGGGCTTGGCGCTTGGTGGTGGGCGGGGACTGAGAGGAGTAGACGGCAGTGTCGAGGAGGTGGTGGTCGTCGTCCGAAGGGGGGGAGAGCGGCATGAAGGCGCGTGCAAAGTGGTCGGCCATGGGTGCGGGCTGCGGCGGCGTGTGCGAAGTCGGGACGGAGGGTTCGGAGGAGGACGGCATGTCGGGCAGCTGCGAGGCCGGGAAGGGAGAGTAGAGCGAGGGCGAGGGAAGCTGCGAGAGGGCGAACGGCTGCGAGACAGGGAAAGAGGGCAGCGGCTGCGATAGAGATAAGGGGTCGGCAAGATGGATGGGGTGCGACATGAGCGGCTGGTGCTGCGGCTGTGGGATGGGACTGCGTTGTGCTTGCGAGCGGTTTAGTTGTGGGGTGGATTGGGGACTGGCAGCAAGCGGACTATTCGGGTTTCCGTGATCGATATCTGCAGATGGGGGAGTGTGGGCAGCGTGCTTTCCCGCCGACGGCGGCGGTTGCGGGACGGGCTCGAAGACGACGGTGCCGGAGAAGGCGCGGAAGTCGAGCTCGACGGCGGCAGAGTCAGGGCACATGCGGATGGAGGGGATGGGGGCTGCGGGTGGGAGGCGCAGGCGCAGCTGGCCGCAGGTCAGGACGGTGCACGCCGGGGCTTGCATGGCCGGTAGGGGAGGGGGGCAAGGGGGAAGGGGGATGGGGAATGGGGAATGGGCAATAGAATGCAGGTTGATGGAGGTTGGGGCGGGAAGGAGGAGAGTTTAAAACGCAGGCGATGGACAGCGCGCGCTTTGGTCGCAGGTTGTTTCGCGTTTGAGTTGAATTGGCGCGCAGACGCCCATACACGTGTATGGAATGGCCAGGAAGCACACGTCAACAACGTGTACAGATGGAATACGTGACAAGAATACACGTATATGTCCTGGACACGTGTTGAAGTTAAGGGAAAGGTGTGGAGTTAATGATACATGTGGCGGCGTGCGGTTGGCAGATGAGAGAACAGCGAATAGGAATGCAAAGGCGCGAAACGGGGGGCGGAGGAGCGCCATATTGGCGGCGAGCACTGTTTCCCGTCTGCCTACATGGATCTGCCTCTGCGGCATGCCGCATGCGTGAGAAAGCCGCCACCTCGACAATCACCACCCATGCCAATCACCACGTCCTTGTCAACTCTCCGAAGGCTCTTCTCGAAGCTCCGGCCGTCGCCCCACTCCCCTCTCCTTCACCTCCTTATAACCTACCCAATCCCTCCCCCCTCCACCCCCCGCACGAGGTTTGGGGGCGGCGCTCGGCCGTCCACAAGTAAAGGGCCCCCAATT